ATGGGCATTTGGGTTGGTTCCAGGTTCTTGCTATTGTAAACAGTCTGTCCCATTGTTCTAAGTGTCTGTTTTTATAACAACACCATGCTGTTTTTTCCTATTAACTTTGAAGTATATTTTGAAATTGGGTAGTGTGATATCTCCAGCTTGGTACTTTTTGCTCAGTCTTGCTTCAGCTATTTGGGAGTCTTTTGTGTTTCCATATGAATTTTAGGATTGCTTTTTCTTTCTGTTTATTTAAAGAATATTAGTGGCATTTTGCTAGGAATTGCATTGATTATTTATTTTTTTGAGATGGAGTCTTGCTCTGTTTTAGATCCCACACGTGACTGAGAATATGGGACATTTGTCTTTCTATGCTTGGCTTATTTCATTTGCCCAGGTGGGAGTGAAGTGGCACAGTTTTGGCACACTGCAACTTCCGCCTCCTGGATTCAAGTGATTCTCCTGCCTCAGCCTCCTGAGTAGCTGGGACTGCAGGCGTGTGCCACCACACCTGTTTAATTTTTATATTTTTAATAGGCTCGCGTTTCACCATGTTGGGCAGGCTGGTCTCGAACTCCTGACCCCAAGTGATCAGCCACCTCAGCCTCCCAAAGTGCTGAGATTACAGGTTTGAGCCACGATACCTGGCTGCATTGAATCTTTAGACTGCTTTGTGTAGTGTGGTCATATAAATGATGTTAATTCTAATTCTTCAATCCATAAGTATGGGATTTTTTTTCCATTTATTTGTGTCTTCTTAAATTTCTTTCATCAGTGTATCATGGTTTTCCTTGTAGTGGTGTTTCATCCCCTAATTAAATTTATTCCTATTTAATTTTTTTGGCATGGCTATTATAAATGGTGTTACTTTCTTGATTTCTTTTTCACCTGGTATGTTGTTATTGGATAGAAATGCTACTGATTTTTGTAGGTTGATTTTAATATACTGCGACTTTGCTAAATTTGTTTATCAGTTCTAAGAATTTTTTTTGTGGTATCTTTAGGTTTTTCTATATGTAAGATCATATAATCAACAAAAAGGGACAGTTCAACTTCCTCTTTTCTTCTTTTCCAATTCTTCAATGTCTTCCTCTTGCCTGATTGCTCTGGCTAGGGCTTCTAGTACTATGTTGAATGAGAATGGGGAAAGTGGGCATCCTTGTCTTGTTCCAGTTCTCAGAGGGAAAGGCTTTTAGCCTCTCCCCATTCAGTATGTGTTAGTTGGGGTTTTTATCATTTATAGCCTTTATTATGTTGAAGTGTGTTCCTTCTTTGCTGAGAGTTTGTTGAGAGTTTTTATTAGGAATGCTGAATTTTATCAAATGCTTTTTTTTTCTTTGTTAAAATGATCATATGGTTTTTGTTCTTCATTCATGAAGGACATAACACATTGTTGATGTGTTGTATCACCTTTTTGACTTATATATGTTGAACCATCCTTGCATACATGATAAATCCCACTTGATCACAGTGTATTATATTATTATTATAGCTATTTTGGTGGTGGCGTCTTGCTCTGTCACACAGGCTGGAGTGCAGTGATGCGATCATAGCTCACTGCAGCCTTGAACACCTGGATCAAGCTATTCTCATGCCTCAGCCTCCTAAAGAACTGGGACCATAGGTGTATGCCACCAGGCCCAGCTAATTTATTTTATTTTGTTTATTTATAGAGACAGGATCTCACTGTTGCCCAGGCTGTCTTGAACTCCTGACCTCAAGCGGTTCTGCCTCAGCCACCTAAGTAGCTGGAATTATACGTGTGAGCTACTGTCTCCTGCTCTATTATATTTTTGATGTGCCATTGGATTCAGTTTGCTAGTATTTTGTTGAGGAGTTTTGTGTCTTTGTTCAACAGAGATATTGGCCCGTAGTTTTCTTTTTTCTTGTGTCTTTGACTGGTTTTGGTATCAAGGTAATGCTGGCTTTATACAGTGATTTAAGAAGAATTTCCTCCTCTTCAATTCTTCGGAGTAGTTTGAGCAGAATTGTTGTTCTTTTATTTTTATTTTTATTTTTTTTATTATTTTTTAAGATGGGGTTTCCCCATGTTGGTCAGGCTGGTCTTGAACTCCCAACCTCAGGTGATCTGCCCACCTTGGCCTCCAAAGTGCTTGGATTACAGGCGTGAGCCACTACGCCCGGCCTAGAATTGTCGTTCTTTATATATTTGGTAGAATTCAGCAGTAAAGCCATCTGGTCCTGGACTTTTCTTTGTTGGGAGACGTTTTGTTGCTGATTCAGTCTGGTTGCTCCTTATTTTGTTTCTTCTCGGCTTAATCTTGGTAGGTTGAATGTGTCCAGGGGTTTATCCATTTCCTCCAGGTTTCCCAATGTGTTAGTTAGCATACATTTGTTTATAGTAGTCTCTGATGATCCTTTGTATTTCTGTGGTGACTGTTTTATGTCTCCTTTTTCTTTTCTGATTTTGTTTATTTGGATCTTCTTTTCTATCTTCTTAGTCAAGCTAAAGATTTGTTTTCACTGCATATGCGTTTACCTTTTTATATTATCTCAGACTTTCCTGGCTGCACAGGCTGGGTTAAACCCTCTGTTTTCCCCTTGGTAACACCCATCACAGTTATTTCTTTTCTTTTTTTTTTTTTGAGACGGAGTTTCGCTCTTGTTACCCAGGCTGGAGTGCAATGGCGCGATCTCGGCTCACCGCAACCTCCGCCTCCTGGGTTCAGGCAATTCTCCTGCCTCAGCCTCCTGAATAACTGGGATTACAGGCACACGTCACCATGCCCAGCTGAATTTTTGTATTTTTAGTAGAGACGGGGTTTCACCATGTTGACCAGTATGGTCTCGATCTCTTGACCTCGTGATCCACCCGCCTCGGCCTCCCAAAGTGCTGGGATTACAGGCTTGAGCCACCGCACCCGGCCTTCTTTTCTTTTTTTTTCTTTTCTTGAGAGAGTGTCTTGCTCTCTTGCCCAGGCTGGAGTGCAGTGGCACAGTCTCAGCTCACTGCAACCTCTGCCTCCCCAGCTCAAGTGATTCTCCTGCCTTAGCCTCCTGAGTAGCTGGGATTACAGGTGCCCACCACCACACCCACCTAATTTTTGTAGTTTAGCAGAGACAGGGTTTCATCATGTTGGTCAGGCTGGTCTCAAACTCCTGACCTCAGGTGATTTGCCAGCCTCCACCTCCCAAAGTGCTGGGATTACAGGCATGAGCCCGTAATTGCACCTGGCCCATCACAGTTATTTCTTGCTTAACATAAAATCTCCCCCACTAGATGTCAGCTCCAAGAAAGCAGAGTCCAGATTTCCCCAGGCTCTAACACAATGCCTGCTATATAATAAGTGCTCAGGAATATTGGTGCAATTGAATTGGCTTGATTCAGTTATTTAAATTTTGTCTCCCCACCTTCACTCAGGTAATCTTTTCTATGTAAGGATTACAACTCTCAATCTTCAATCTTAGGATATAAGGACAAATCATAATTTTATAAATAAAAGGGATTATGGGGGCTTTGAGAGTTGTGAGTATAGATTTAAAATATGGATGTAATCCTTCTCAAAGACCTCATGTTACTTTTTTTTAAAAACCTTTTTATTTTGAAAACTCATAAAGTGTTATAAAGAATTACAGCACACTCTTTATCTAGGTTTCCCACTGTTAATGTTAATATTTTACTATGTTTGCTTTCTTCTTGTTCTTTTTTTTTTTCTTTGAGACGGAGTTTCACTCTTGTTACCCAGGCTGGAATGCAATGGTGTGATCTCAGCTCACTGCAACCTCCACCTCCCAGGTTCAAGCGATTCTCCTGCCTCAGCCTTCTGAGTAGCTGGGACTGCAGTTATGTTCCACCACACCCAGCTAATTTTGCATTTTTAGTAGAGATGGGGTTTCTCCATGTTGGTCAGGCTGATCTTGAACTTTCCAACGTCAGGTGATCCACCCGCCTCAGCCTCCCAAAGTGCTGGGATTACAGGTGTGAGCCACCGCACCCGGCCTACATTTGCTTTCTATATCCTTTCTATGTATGTATATGTAGAGGAAAAAAATGCATCTTTTATCTCAATATTTTAGTGTGTATTTCTCAAAAACATGGATAGTCTTTTACATAACCAACACAAATATCAAATTAGAGAACTAACATTGATTCCATGCTGTTAACTACCGATAGAACTTATTCAGTTTTACCCAGTCACATCGTTTATGGAAAGAGGGGGAAAAAGGGACCCAAGATCTAATCTGAGATCACGTTACATTGAATTGTCATGTCTGTAGTTCTGTGTCTTTCAGGACCTTGAGATTCATGCAGGTACAGGTTTATTTTGTAGATTATCTCTCTGGGTTTGTGGGATGCATCATCACTGATTAGATTTAGGTTACGAATTTTATGTGGGAATATCACAGAAAGGATACTGTGTTTTTTCAATGCATTATTTCAGAAGTCACATGATATCTCTCTGTCCCATTACTCTGGTGATGTGTAACTTTGGTCACTTGCTTGGTTAAGGTGACATTGCCAGTTTTCCGTATTTTAAAGTTCTTCCCTTCCTCCCCACTAATTGTTATTAATAAGTATCTTCTTTTTCTATTTTAATTAATGTAAATTTCTGGGATTGTTTTCTTTTAATATTTAATTTTGAGGTCCTGACCAAAGAGCAGATTTGTACTTGGAAGGAAAAGACCAGCTTGGGGGTTGGTTTCAGTCATCCTTATTAACAAGTGTGGCAGCAAGGAAGAAAGCACCTTATAAGTAAGTATTTATACCTGAACTAACCTGCTGAGTACCTGCCCGTGTGTGAAGCACTGTGCTGAGTACTATAGAGATGATAAGGCACCACTCTTGATTGCTTACAGTCTCCTGTTCATTAAAACAAATAAGAATTTGAAGAAAAAGGGGCCGGGCGCGGTGGCTCAAGCCTGTAATCCCAGCACTTTGGGAGGCCAAGGTGGGTGGATCACGAGGTCAAGAGATCGAGACCATCCTGATCAACATGGTGAAACCCTGTCTCTACTAAAACTACAAAAAATTAGCTGGGCATGGTGGCGCGTGCCTGTAATCCCAGCTACTCAGGAGGCTGAGGCAGGAGAATTGCCTGAACCCAGGAGGC